TTAGTTGAAACCACGCAATAAATATTGAACTTGAAGTTCATATTATATTTCTGCCAAGTGAAATCTATAATAATGGAGTGGCCGATTTATAAATATATCGATGTACCACAAAGTAAGCAAATTTCCTAGGGAATGATTGACTCCTTAGTGCTAGAAGCATAAGGAGATATAATAAATATATGATGTATGAAAGTCCGCGGAAAATGTATATTAAAGAATTAACACTCCTTTATGAGAAACTCCTGAAGAGTTGATCCAGTACATCTTGCACGTGTATCAAACCATTATAGTACTGGAAATGCGGAACGGCCAAAATTAGGTATTATGGGAAATGATTATAAATATGGCTAATAAATAAGAAGTTGCATATATGGTTGAGAGAAAAATATAAGTTGAATATCATAGTTGTCGACAACATACTTGCCTATGTGATTTCTTTACTATCTCATATAATGATCCGGATCAGAATAATGAAAGTGCTAGAAGCACTTAGGCTAATTGAGATAGAAATAAAAATTGAGGCAGAGCTTTCACTCGCTACACGATATATCCCAGGAAGATAGCATATCCCAGAAGGATAATGAATATTTATATGAAACATGTGATGTGGTGGTGTGATGTAAATATAGCGAGATTATGCTCATGGGTTTATGCAGAGACCCAAATGTTTATTTAGATAAGTTCTCTCATTACAATGATTCCGCAAGTTAATATTTATGGCAGCATTATTACAATGACTATTGAGTCATATGTGAAAGTCCTGGATGGACTCGAGTACCCGAGATGAAAGATAATTAAATGATAAATAGTTTCATTATTTAAAGTTGTTGGTGAGATGTGGTACAACCAACTAAATTCTTCCTGAAGAAGTAAAATAAGAAATTCAAGGTAGAACCTTGTGTATAATGATAATATACAAAATGATCATCTCGACCAAATAGATTATGTGGTGAACACTATGTAAAATATTAAATAAGTTAGCTCATGCTTATAGACGGAGTAAGGATGAAACTTTTGGTTAAATACCAAAGAGTATTATCTCGACTTGTAGATCGAGCATCTCCTAGAAGGAATATTTTTGACCCAACCAATTTACTTGAATCTCTTTTAGAGATGTAAAACTGTAACACCAATTAGTGTCAAATATTTGGCATTTGACAAAGATCCAAAGAAACAAATGAGGATATTATAGGACCTGGAGTTCAAATGGACTTGAAGTCCACAAACGACATGAAGTTTATTTATCAAGCGCAATTGTGCTGAACTTTTATCTCACAAACTGCATCAGGCCTGATACTGCATTTGTGATGAATTTGCTAGCAAGATTTACTGAATCTCTCCTTAGAGAGATATCGTGATAAATATTGAGAATATCCCATTATTCTTCATGTATGTTGAGTTATCTTTGGACTTGATATATGATATTGGTGGATAATGACATCAATTGTATAATTGATCCCCGAAGTATGGGTCCTCAATTGGTTATATACCTCTCAAATGGTATTAACACTTTACCATTGGTTATTGAAATTTCTTCATATTTATCCTGAAGATAACTTAGTTTGTGTTACACAAATAAATTATATAAATACATTCGATGATATTTTTGAATCTATATCAACTCCCGAAGAGCAACAAATGACGATTTTGTGTTAGAAACTTTACATTGAGGGGGAGCAACATATAATTAGGAATGAAACTAAACAGGTTTTCCCTTCAGGGGGAGCGATAAATAAATCTCGAAGATCGAACCCGGAAGGTTAATTATAATCCTGAAGATTAGGCCCTGTTGGCCGGTGTTGTACTCTTTTTCCCTTGACTAAGTTTTTTCCCATTGGGTTTTACTTAGTAAAGTTTTTAACGAGGCAACAAGTGTAACACATAAATTTGCATGTGTCATGTACTCTTTTCCTCGACTATTTTTTTCCACTGGGTTTTGTAGCGTGGTTTTTAACGAGGCATGGACATGATGCGGTAATGTCCAAGGGGGAGTGTTGTAAATATTAAGTTGTGGACATTACCTAGATATAGGATTTGTAGGCATGGGCCAAGAGCCCATTAGGTATTTACTCATGTACATTATATTTCCTTATATATAGGGCTCAAGTGAATGAATAAGATGATGGTTTTTAACGGCGTATCTCTTCTATCTTATTCTCTTCTTCTTCTACTGTTTCTATCTTTGTCTGTTTTACACATAGATTTTACATATTGTCAATCTATATTACAACATCAATAATATTAAAGTAAGAAAATTGAGAAGATAAAAGTATAATATAAATACACCCCATAAAACCAGTATTATGATTTGTATGTTTTCGTTCAAAGTTATGTATATCTAGTACTAGTGCAACGCTCGTGTATTACACGAGTGTTTGCTATTTTTTTTTTTTGTAAAATTTAAAATTAATGAAAAAAATAGCTGAAAATTTAAATACTTATTACAAAAAATATATATTATTATATATTTTAGTATGACATTTGTTACTTGTGCGACTTAACAGTATTATATTATAATAATTTGTCTAACTTATAACATATAAATACATTAAACATAAATATATTAATTGAGAAATAATTTTATTTTTCTAATTAATTTTATGAAATATTTTTTTATTATTATAAATATAATTTATTTATTTTATATATACAATATACATGTCAAATCGAAGCTCAAAACATGGTTAATTTGATATATTATATATGTAGATCGATAATAAATACAAAAGTTATCAACTTTTAAAATACATTTACAATTCAATAGTTATAATAGAAATTGATATTAAAATGCTATAAATACATCTAAAATGATCATAAATAAAACATATTTAAAGGATTCCGAACCTTTTTTTGGATCGAAATTAAATTAAAATCTATCCAAGCCAAATAATAAATCATGAAATTTTGACATCTTGGATCCTGAAGCATGCGGGCCTGTCAATTAAACTCAACACATTTGGGAATTATATGTAGGCGGATTACAATTTAAAAATAATCTTAACTTAAAAAATAATATGTAACTATGTTGAAAAAAGAAACTACTTTTCAGAATCGGAGATATAAATACATAACTATGGTCACAACAATTATATACATTTTATGTAAAAAGAAAAAAACTTTTTTCATTTTTTTTTTTTAAATTCCAAATAAATAAATATAAAATAAAAACAATAAACTAATATTTGTATTTCTTGCATTTTTACCTTTTTCACTACTTTTATCATCACAATTCACAATGTTGGTGAAGTATTCTGGCATGTTTTTCATGTCCCTCCAATTTCTCATTACTAATGGTGTCGAATTTGAAAAAATAATTAAAAACAATTATAATAAAACTACCGGCAAGCTATTTATATATTTGTTTCAAATGATCTTTAAGCATGGCTATATATATCTAGTAATTGATATTATAAGTTGGAATAACCATCTAAGATGAATTTCGATTTTGCATTCAGATTGTATATATATATTAACATATACTTTTAAATTAATAGCTAATTTTATCTGTCATTGCTAATTGGAAAATAATAAAATGGCTAAATAAATTTAACATATTGGATGAGTTAGAAAAATTATGTAAACATAAAAGATCATAGCTCTTATAGGTGCAAGTGTCTTCTTAAATAAAATAAAAAATAATATAAAATTTGAACATATGAAGACTTGCATATATATAATAAAATAAAGATTGAAATAAAAAAAAGCAAAAGTATAATATTATCTGATGATACTAAATCACATAAAGAAAGACCTCTATACGGTTTTGCTATAAAGTCAACAATTGACATTATAGTAGAATCAACTTTTTATATACAATAAGTAATATCATACTATATTATTTGATCACTTAAATAACAAATATATAATTTTATTTATATAATATAGTTTACTTGCTGTATATAGAAGGTTGAATCTATTATAAAGTCAACTGTTGGCTTCGTAGCAAATCGGACCTCTATGTTGTGTTGAAAGTGTTTTTTTTTTATTTTATTTTATTTTATTTTTTTTTTGTGTGTGTGGAAAAACAAAGAAGTTAAGTCAGAATTCCAAAATTGCACTACAATTAATAATTGAATCAGAATACCAAAAGTACACCACAATTAGATTACGGTACACTCACTTTTTCATTATTTAAATACTAAATAAAGCTTCTTTTCAAAAAAATTGTAATGAACTATGCAATTATAAATTAAATATTCCATATATGAATATAAAATTTCCCAATCCTAAATATTATACCCCATATATAATATTATACCATATTTTTCCAAAAAATGACTATATTTATCTTTTACAAATTTGACACCACTATTTACTAATATTACCACTAAAAAAAATTATATTCTGTCTTCAAAGTGATATTTTATTTTTTATTTTTTCAAATAAGGGGAATAATTGAATAAAAATACCAAAAGAGCACCAGAATTAGATATTGGTAATTTGGTAATTTCTTTTTTTTATATTTTTTATAAAAACCTTATTTTCAAAATTATAGATCCAATACAAAAAATATTGTCACAACAATTAGATATCATAAATTTCTTTTCCCTTATGTAAAAAGAAAAAAAAAATCTTTTCAATATTATAAATCAATATAAAATGCTCATAAAATAACATTTATTATTATTATTATTATTATTATTATATTTTTTAATTTTATCATCACAATTTACAGCTTTATAGGTAATAATGAACTTTTTCTTTGAAGTGGGAAGGACAAATATTGGTGAGGGATTTTTGGCCTTTTTTTCAAAGCCGTTATGAATTCGAGAATAGAATAAAATATAAAATAAAATAAAATAAATAAAAATTTATAGAAATAAAAACCCTCTTTTTTTTCCCTCGCTCTCAACACACTAACCTTCACTGTGATTAAAACCTCAATTTAGCTCTCTCTGCCTCCAAATCTTCACCATTTTATTTATCGATGTTTTGATTTTATCTGAACACTCGCCGCAAGTTCGATCAATTCACCGGAAAAAAAATATTCTCTCGTTTACATGGCGGAAGGAGGCAAAGGTGGCGAGCCCGGGCCCGAAGAGGGCCCGGTGTCAAAGCCCGCCTCGTCATTCGAGGCGGCCGGAGGCCGGCTGAGGTTCACGATAGAGCTCAATCCGGAAGAAACGACCATCGTTTCGTGGAAGAAGCTTGTCAGGGAGGCCAATTTGAGCATGTCTGGTGGGCCCGGCCCGTCGGTGTCAGGGCCCGGAATCCAACCTCAGCCCGTGTCTCAGCCTCCGCCTCCGCCTCCATCTCTACCGGCGGGGGCTGCTTCTTTCGAGCCACCCGCCGTGAAAGAACAGAGGGATCCTCAAGGGCAGGCCGGGTCGACCCGTTTGAATTCGGTGATTGAGAGGATTGAGAGAATGTATGCGGTAAGTTGTGTTGTGTTTGGTGAATTGTTTACTGACATGGATGTGGATTAGCTTCCCCACAACAAAAAAAAAGGAGATTTTTTTACCTGACACTTTGTGTAATCAATGGCAAACATCTCATGCATGTATACAGTTGCACTTGAATATTTTAATTTTATATGGTCTAAAGAAAACATCTATGAATTGTGTGTATATCTGGACTTGAATTTCTTAATGAACTATGGTAATCTTTGTTTTAAAGATTCTTTCAATGGTAGCAGTGTTCACTTGTGTTTGTAGTCCTAGTTCTACAGTCTTCATGGTAATTGAGTTAACATCTTTTACTTTATGGGACTACAAGCAGAGCAAGCTCCATTATAGTTCATTTGTAATTTTTTCCTTTACATAATCAATTGCTAGAGATTTAGCAGCTCCGAGGGTTCATCCTAAGCTCTTGGCACATATAATGCAGTGTGATTATAATCTAATGGTTACTAGGTTTGATGATGGTAACGATGGTTAAAACCGCCTTGATGATTCGTTCTTCTTTAACTGTGGCTAAATTTTCTTTATGAGACTATGTCATGTTTGTGTCATGCAACTTGCAGGGAAGTGGGAGCAGTGATGACGAAGATGTTAGGCTAGACAATGTGCCGGATGATGATGAATATGATACTGATGATTCCTTCATTGATGATGCTGAATTGGTGGGTACTGCATTTTCGTATTAATCTGCCTTGTTGATGCTTGACATTTCATCTTTCTTAATTGGTGAGCTTATCTTCTGTACAGGACAACTATTTCCAAGTTGATAATTCGGAAGTTAAGCATCATGGATTTTTCGTGAACCGTGGGAAGTTGGAGCATGTGTAAGTCCGTACATGGCACAAGTGTTCTTTTGCTTTACTGTTGTCTTACAGAGATGTACCTAAATTTATGAAATGTGTTTGTTTCCTTGAATCTTTGGGTGCCTCTTGGTATTAATCAGGAAGAGACCAACCCAAGATTTCTCTTTTGTGCTTTGTAGACTTCCAAATGGGGAAGAAGCATTTTATATTTCAAAATACTTATTTAGTAATGTTAATAAAGATAATCTAATCAGTGCTTGGAACATATAGTTTGTGTCCATTGCCATTGTATTCCCTTCCCAGAGATGCATATTTCGTCTCACCTTCTGATGCATATCTGACAGGATTCAATTGATTAATATTTGAAGGTGTTAGGGTCTCACTAATGGAGTGTTTTTCAATCAATAGTGACACAAAGTTGAGGATGTTTTTATCATTAAATTATGGCTGGTGGTGCAATGATGTGATCACTGCTGCACTGCATGTGTTCTTAACTGTTTGAGTAGTGTTATCTTTATAAAAAATCTAAAATCATTGAAAACATTTCTTAAATTGGAAAATATTTGTGCACATATGTGATTCTTTTTGGCACGTATGTTAGTTATGTTTTGAGTTATTTGGTTGGAATTGTGTTGTGACTATTCCTACGACTTGATTGATTTCATCTTTTGGAAAACCTTCTGTTTCAGGATGAGTTGTCTTGAATTCTTAATTAGTATCGCCATCATCGATTGACACAGTTGAAGATACTCACCATTATGCTACATTAAATTTTTCCTGCAGTGAACCTAATTCCTCTAACCAGCAGCCAAAAAAGAGGAGACACAAAGATTTGGTAAAAGGGCAGAATGAGAGTGATGATGGACGTAACCAAAATAAAACTGCGAAAAGGGGAAATAAAGGTAAAAAAACATCATCAATGATCCATACAAGCTCGACCAACGTGCGTGGTGAGGATATACAATTTCAGGCTGCACCTTCAGATGCTGCTGAAATTTCAATAAAGAAAAAAGCTTCAGATTCCCATGCTACAGAACGTTCTTCATTATTGTTGGACGGTGGTGCTATCAGGCAGAGTATGGATATTGATGGGCAAAGGCTTGAAATCCTCTCATCAAAGAAACATAGTAGCAAACTGAAAGAGAGGGAACCTCATGATGCTGCAACATATAGGTCAAATGATAAGAGCTCCTATGCAAGCAAAACCCAATCTGGGAAACAACCAATTAATGTCGATTATCTAGACCGGCCATTTCAACAAAAAGAAAAAGGTGGACCTGCAGAAAACCTTAACATCCTTTCAAACAGGGAATCCATGCCAACTATGGTGAGAATTAGCTTGTTGTACCCTGGTTCCTTTACTTTTGAAGTGATATTACATAATGTAGACTCCTCGTATAAGGATCTAGGTCGACATCTTGGCTTGATAAGTGTAATGGTAACTCAATTTTTAATATTTAACATTCTTGAACGACTAAAGTTGATGGGATTGGGAATACCTCACTATAACTTTATTGGTCGACATCCGGTTACTTTATAACTTTATAAAACATGTAAAATTGATCAGATTGATGGAACGTCTCACTATTTGAGGACTAGTTTGTTCTTTGTGGAATCTTTAATATTATTGGGACTTGAACACTTCAAAATGGAGAGGGCCAAACTAATATGATATTACTAAGGCTTAGTGAATAGTTATAGCGTTCACATGAGGTGGGTGATCAGCATGTTTTTTCATTCATGGCTAATTCCTTATACATGCTTGCTGTTATATATTTGTCTCCTTCTCCCGAACATTTGTCTCTCTATATTTCTAGTTCTGTAAATATGCATGTGGTGCTTCCTTTTTGCCTATCAATTTAACTGAATTGTCCCTAATCAAGTCTCTTAGAATTTTGTGCAGAAGGCTGCTCTAATGCCTAGAAATGATGGATCTACTGTTCAGACAAAGACTGCAAATCTCGAGAAGGCTATTAGGGAGCTAGAGAAGATAGTTGCAGAATGTATCTTCTTTCTCCTAACATTGTATTTCTTCATTACCGTTCTGTAATTATGCCTCATTTATATATTTTTGCTCCTGCGCATTGGAAAACTACAGCCAGACCACCTACTGAAGTCCAGGGTGATGATAATACTTCTCAGGCAGTCAAAAAGAGAGTGCCGCGTGAAATAAGGGATAAGCTGGCGGAAGTTGCTAGTTTTGCGGTAGTTTGGAGTGATTAATAATCTTAGTAGTTCGCGTTTTTGTGGCATCTTATTAATTGCTTTATGGCCCAATGAATTGGTGTTTGACTTTTCTTCTCTGTGAAGCTTATCTCTTGTACTTTTGAGTGTCTGCAGCAGGACAGCAATGGAGAAATACCAGTGGATTTGATCAATCGTCTGATGAGCATTGTTGGCCACTTGATGCAACGTAGAACCCTGAAGGTATCTTCCTCTCCCACTAAAAATTTACATAATAATGGTTATTGGTTTTGTTGTTTCAAATTCCACTAGATCCCTTTTTCAGCGTTTTGATTTATTAGTTTTCTACTGGAGATTATGGTAGATTGGTTTCAGTGCAGTTTGGCTTAAATAGAAGCTGGGCTAGAAGAGAGGTTTGTTGTTCATGTGTTTTGATCCACTTATAAGCTTGTCATTGACTGTTTTAAGTGATAGCCTCTGTGTTTGCATGATGCGATTTAATGTTTTACTTGATGGCCTCTGTCATTCTGGATCGCTTTCTGGTACCTATCTTTACATGTTTCGAGAAAATGTAGTGTTTTTACTCACAAAGAATAAAATGAATGCCTTATTGAGTTCATCACCTAGTATCAATGGCGGAAGCAAATAGGAGCCGGCAGGGGCACGTGCCCCTATACAATTAAAAAAAAGTACTCATATTATGTAGAAGTTTAAAAAAAAAATAGTATTTTTTCTATACAAATTTGTGCCTATGTTATTTATTAGAAATATTGATTTTAGTAGTCCATTTATTTTTCTCTAAATTCCAAAAATTGTAACAAAGTTTTATTTAAAAAAAAATAACTATTCCATGTAGAAAAAAAATCTAAAAAATCTTCCTTTCACGATCATGTCTTGAAAAAACCTAAATATTAATTATTTTTTAATCCCATCTTGAACCCGACTATGATTTCTATTTATCCGTTTTTGTACCTATCAACTTTATAATTTATATTTTAGTTCTTGTAAACCTATATTTATATTAAGGGATTAAAAGAATTGATTTGTTACCACTTTAGAGCTTTCATAATTTTGATAAAAAGTCATGATCCTAATGAAGATATCTAAACGCTTTGTTTTCAATTTTATGCATACTTTATTCATTTGTTTTCAATTTTTAGTACATTTTAAACAAGCAATCAAATTGTACTTATTGATTACTAATTAATATGACTTTTATGAATTCATTGTGAAGAACCATTGTAAACAGAAGTCCACATATAGACGTTAGAAGTTATAAGATAAAAACAATAATAATTTTGATGTTTGACAGTTTGAGAAAGATTAATTTGATAATATTGAATTTAATGTAATTATTAAATGATGAAAAATAAAGAATATATAGAGAATGATTTTAAAATAATATTACTTTATTTTTTTGGCATTTCCTATAAGTTACATTGTGATGTGACCTGTTAGACTTGGAGCTATTATCTGTGCCCAGATCCTTATCAGCTCTGTATTCTGTTTCTAACTGTTCACTACAACTTCTGATAATATAGAATATTAATTGCTGAAAAGGTTTGGTTTTATCATGCCATTTTTAATCATGCTGTGGAAGAATAAAGGAAATTTAATATCTGCTTTGATTGACATTGTTTTGTGATGACATTACAGAGCTTTTTGCCGGAGAACCGCTATATCGTGGCTAAGAGAAATCCAAATGTTAACGACATAGTTCCCGAATGAAGCTTAGCTTAGATCTAGATGCTTGTTTCAAATAATCTTATCTGATACACTGTGGTTTACCTTTCTATTGCATTTAAGTCTTGGAACATCAATACTATCATCACCATAATGATGAACTCTGTGTGTAACTCTTAAACAAACTAATGTTGCCATGAAATTCATCAAAACAAGTAGGATTATTTGTGATTTAAAGCTTATGTTTGTATATTCAAATAGGAGAGTTCCAAACTTCTAATAACCCGGATGTTCTTTTTCTCCTTCTTTGCCTACTCAACATAACGAAAGGCTTTCAATCTTTGTTTCCCTACCTAAAATTGTTTTTTTTTTTTTTGATGAGTTTCCCTTCGTGATTGTGGATCTCACGTAAAACTTGTAATAGAGTCAGTAAAGATTAATTCACATAAATCTTAACAAATCTCATTAAAGCCTTTTACTGGTCTTTGTACATTGATTATTGAGTTAGTACATATTCATTCACCTTAAATTTCCTTGTGTTTTCAATAGATTTTTCCATCTCAGTTACCTGGGTTTTGCACTTTACCTTATGGAGCACCCAATTGAATTTTCCCCTTGAATTATATCATATGCATGACATGCATCTTGAGTTGTGCACTTTTTCTAGACAATATCAAGTTGTTTTATGCTTTTGATTCACATTCTAACCTAATGCATAAAAGTTTGATGACCTTTGCCAACATGAAAAACTACCTGAATTTGACCGAAAAGTGCACAAATAAGAAGGAAACCTTGCATGTAACAACATGGCACAATATTTCGCAATTGAGGCTTTGTAGATATCCAAGTGCAAAACTTGAAGAGTATGGATGGTAATGTGTGATGAATGTAAAATTTCACTAAAGATGTGAAAATCACCATGGTTGGAACCCCTTAACATCAAGACTGGCTGAATACTTGATGAAATGAGTGGATTAACTTATTAGAATCTACACCAGCCATCTCTTATAGTAACGTTTATAACGCACGGAAGAGAGTATGCTTATATTGTTTATGGCAACAGTTCAATTATGTGCATTTATAATATATTGTTTACATAAATGCGATGGTCTCCTGTGTGGATTACCTAAAGTGAGTTATTTTTACAATCATGAATAGGATTATTACATTCTCAGTTTCTCACATCATATTCATAAAAAAATGAATAAGTGGCTAGAAACTCGTATGCTCTATTGGATGAGTACCGTAAATTTTGATACAATTTCCAAATGTAGCTACATGACAGTCAAGTTTGATTACCTCTTTGTGATGTACAATTACATTATTATCCATCCCGATATTTGTGCTAATCACAATTTATGTTTGCTCTAATCCTATTATGTCATTTATGACGCTATCTCATCTAAGTAAGTCCATGAGCATGTTTTCCTTGATTCTTTATATTCATTGGTCAAAACTTTTTATTGCATTTTCACTTCTTCTATATTCATACTTATTGTTTATAATTTTGTTATCCCTCTACTGTTATTTTCTAGGCGAAATGAGTCGACGTGTTCGCCTTTATGCAAATAAATGCAACTATTACTGATTTTGCAAGCATATTTTTCTTTTTTCTGTCAGAGAAACCTTATAATCATGGCTAATGCCGGATTATCTGCTAAACAAGAGAAGGCTGACCGAATAGAGAAGATAAAACAAGAGGTTGCTGAGATGGTTAAGCAGCGGATTCCATATATGAAATCAAAAGTATGGAGTTCTGTTTAGTTTAAGTCGATACGATGCGGTCGGTCGAAATGTTGATCTACCTTATACATAATATTGAAGATTTTTTTTCTACCCTTAAATGACTTGTTGTCTCAAAACCTCAACATTTGCCGTCGCCATCCCACCCCACCCCCCTAATAAATTGACCAAATAAGTAAAAAAATCATAAGCTCCCTTTTCCATTTTAGTGAATGATTGGGGTTATTTAGGTTTATTTAATAGCTGATTTCTTACATAATTTGCAGGCTGAGCAGCTAGCTGCAAATTCAGATGATTTTCAGGAAGCTGGTCCAGAAGTGAAAGAAGTCCTGAAACGCAAATACAGCATGGATGATGCACTGGGAAATAAGATTTGTGATTTATATGACCTTTATGTTGAGGTATTTATTACTTATTAAGTTTCCGTGGTTCATCTGGAAGCTTCTAACATCCAACTTCAGTCCTCCCCCCGGCCAGAAAAAAGGGGGAGAACAGGAAAAGGACAAAAAAGGAAAAAAGAACAAAATAAATGTTGCGGTTTTTTAGTGATGTACTAACTTGCTTACTTGCATTTTATTCCAGAGAATAGATGAGGATTCAGGTCCACCAATCAGAAGGCTGTATCAAGAGGTAGTTGGAATGTGGCTCAAGTAATTTTTCGTTCGAGTGGGTTTATTGTCGGAAATAAACTGATTTTATGTCGAAGATCTTTGAAGTAAATAAAAGATGAAGAGATGATACATTTTACAGTAATTAATGTGGTCCGGAAATTATAGATCTGCATCTATATAAATTTTACTGCACATGTTCCTTTTGACTAGTTTGTTTCTTGGCTTGAACAAGTGAAGTGGCATATGAGAATTGTCGATGTGTTTCTAGTAGTTTTACTGGATTTAGTATAATAAACTACTCGAACTAGAAAAACATTTGTGAATTCTCCACCCTATTCATCTCTCTGTCTTTCTAATGCAGCTTGTGGTAATGTGGCCTAGTGGATTTATGGATACTGATGGAATCAAACGTGCTATATACCGAGTGAAAGAAAGGAGGGGTCTGGGCATCCCGGCAAAGGTACCATTAATTCAAGTTGATTAATTTTTTCCTATGTATTTTTTGTTTGCAGAATATGACTTTGAAGGCTTTATATAATCCCCAATGGGTGAACGAATAAGGAGATCCCCAACCTTTTATATTCTGTCTTTCCTTAGTTTATTAGTTTTCGTTTGTCTTAAATTTTTCATGTTGCGTCTTAGGATCGAGAGAAAAGCAAGAGCCAGAAAGTCTTGCCTCCAAAACAAAAGGACGCCACTAATGTCTCTCAATCCTCACATACTCGCGAAAAGCCACTCTCAGATTCCCTTTCTCCTTTGACCAAGAAACCAACCTTCAGCGCTCGTAAACCAGTTGCCTTAGCACACGGCCCAAAAGCCGACAAAAGAAAGCAAGAGAAGGCAAAAGGAAGTTCCAGTGGCAATCCTCCTGTGGATGCAGTGGCATCAAATTCGATGCCGAGTAAAAAACTGAAAAAGAAGCCGAATTTGGAGGCTTTAGAGACTCAGGTTCGGCTCGAGAAGCTGGCGCTGTCAAAGGCGGACGAGAGGCCCAAACTACAGAAGCACGCGGCTCAGAGTAGTACCTCTAAGTTTGCATAAGTGAATCGTAAAACTTTTGTACATTAGTATTTTGTTTTGCTGAAGTCTTTTGTGTTTTTTATTTTCTTGTTGTGTGATTTCATTTTCTGGTGACTAAAAGCTTTTGTAAGTACTGTGATTGACTACATTACATGGGAACCTTTTTTCAATATTAGGAGTAGGTTAGTTGAGAAACTGGGGGTCTCTTGCATTTGGTATTTTTCGACGTTTGTTTGAGTTTGTGATCTCTTTTTGCAGTGCAGATGATTAAGGCCTCGGAAAGTTTTGAGACGGGCAAAGGTAAAGCCTTCATATTGCCCAAGATCGACGGGTATAATAATACCACAAATCACCATTATATATCACTGTTAGTGTGTATTTGGAGATCAGATTGGGCTATCCCCCATTATTCAAAATTACTGGATTAGAGTCTTGTACAGATTGCTTCAATTGCTGTACATCGACGAGGCATTTTTATACAGCACATTTCAAAATTCACTCGACTTTCCCAGTTGGCAGCTTCTAAATTCTTTCTGAGGTATGCTGAATTTAGGATTATGTGTTTTGATGAGTGTGCAATTTAACTGTTTGTTTTTGCCCTTGAAGTAAACACGTTGTTATATCTACTGTGAAAATTGTTTTTTCTGTTGTTATTCTGTTAGTAACCCTCGCATGATTGCTAAAGACTGCATCTTCAATATTTTGTTAATGTGGTGGCTAATAATGAACTAGATCAAAATGACTCAATTAAATTCTAGTGCTTCTTCTATTAGTGAAGTTTCTAGAAAAAGAATATATCAAACGACGCAATGCACCTTGAGTCGTTACGGAAACAACCTCCTTGTATAATTACAAGGGTAATGTCTGCGTACAACTGACCCTTCAGACCCAAGAGTATGTTGTTGTGGTGGCCATTTGGTACTTGTATTCTAAATGCTAAAGAAATCTATTATTGTTAGTTTCCTTTTCACTTAAAATTATTTTTATTATTAGATTTATATTTTATAGTATAATATAGTTTTCATTCCTTAAATAAAAAAATATTGGGTTGAAAATTCAAAATAAAATTAATATTATTTTGTGTGATATTTTAATTGATAAAGAAATCTGTTTCGTCTTTGATCTCTTTGTTTTATGACATCCTCATTATGCTTAAAATAATGATCATTGTTATTGTCATCACAATTTAGTTTTCTAGTGTCTTCCTTTTGCATCACACTTTTGAAAAATAATTCGAATTTGCTATAATTATCATTTGTAATGACCATTCTTTATTGTTGATTAGAAGCTAACCAACTGTGTTTAAATGTTCCGTTCCGTACTATTTTGATTATAGTGGTTGCAAATTCAATTATTTTTGCAAGTATAATGTTTCATAATAATTTGATATATATTTTTTCACTGGATATAAGGACATAACAACTGAATAAATGTTCGAAAATGTCTTTAAAGTCGTAATTATTTACAAAAAAAAAAAAAAAAAAACTGCTTGAAAAAGATTAAAAACAATAACATCCTTGATTAATTAAAGATACTCCTCTATCTATTTATATTGTCTAACATTGGTTGATTCATTATACATATCTATATGTATTGTTCAACATAAATTATTGTTACATCTCCTAACATTGTCATGCATGCATTATCATTTTCATGAGCGCACCAAACATCTCAACATTGATTGTCATGTTGTGCTTAACAAGTTCAAGGAAGCTTTATTGATCCTCGATATATTCCCTTTTCCTCTCAGCCAGCTGAACTTTTTACCAAAGCTCTCAATGGGCGTGAATTTGTTTGTTTTCTTTTCAACTTGAGCATATGTGTTGCCTCTCACATTCCCACTTGAAGGGTTTCTTGACGGTGATGATCACGAGCATCGTGCATGGACTGAGTGGCACATCTATGACAGTTGTCACTTTAGCTCTAAGTCATGAACCACCTGAATGTACAAAAAGCATGTACGATGCATTCATTTTTTTTGGGGCTTGAGAAAGGGTAAAATTATTTTTTTCAACTTGTAATATATGTGTTTTTGGGTTTTTGCAATATATAGTATTTTTCGTAGTAAAATGAAATATGAACTTCATAAATATTTATAATTTATACACTCGCTGACTCGCCGACATCCTGACTAGATGATTGCATGGTGAAGAAGTAGGTGAGTGTGCAAGTTCATAAACATTCATAATTTATACACTAGCCGACATGTTGACCAAAATCCAAATAAGATTGTCATTGACTAAAATACAATCGCCCACTAATTTCCTACTTATGCCTTTTAAGACCATCTTTATTAATGCCACTAGGGCGGTGGCGTGAGATAGGACAAAAAAAAAAATTAAAAATTGAATTTTGTCCCACAGAGTCATCAACCTAAGTCGGTTGGCCAACCCATTTATGAATGAACCACATACTGCCACTTGGCAGCATGTGGTGGGTTGTATTTTTTTTTTTTATGTTTTTAAATTAATAATATTGTAAATAATTTTAAATAAAAAATAAATAAAAATTATATTAAAATTCATACTTTTTTTTCTCTATAAATAGAGTATAATATTGATACACTTTCACAACCAAATACAACATCTCTTTTCTTCACACATTTCTTGTTCTATATTTTCTCTCTATTCTTCATTTGAGGTTATAGATCCAAACTATCCAAATTATTCTTTCAAACTATCCAAATTAATTTAATACAAATTAATATATCTAATTTTATTTAAAAATAAAGTGAAAAGAAAAAATATTAGGTTGGGTTGGTGTCATGGATAAAAGTAGAAATATAATTGGGTTGTGGGTTGTATAAGTGGAGGAGAGAGAAATGAGTATTTTATTAAAAGAATTGGGTTGGGTTGGGTTGGATTGAGTTATGAATAAAGATAGTCTAAGTTTCCTTGTGCCAAAATTCAAATGGGATTGTCATTGACTGAAACATGCACATACCTATGTTTGAACTTTGAAGTAGCATTCGTCATGAACCGTATAAATTGTTTGAAGAAATATTTTTAATATTATGATTTATAATACAAATAATTATTATAAGATACAATTATAGATTCACATCTTATTACTGATCGAGCTCTCATAGTTTAAAATGGCAACGCCATGAAGTGAGGTACATATCACGAAGCGCTCGCTTTAGGACGTCTCGGCACGCCTTAATGCTCGACGAGTGCTTCGACGACATTCTGTTTTATTAAAAGCGCATGGGTTTTATTAAAATAAAAAAAAATAAAAAAAATAAAACCAGTGTTTTGTGACCCGGACCGGCCCCGCGGGTTGACCCGGGACCCAGTCGACTTGGAGCCGGAACCAGTTCGGGTGGGCTATTTGGATCGGCCAACAACGGACCCGATCAAACCCGGTCAAAACCCGGTCGATCGGGCCTTGACCCGGTCTACCGGGGGCATTGACCCGGTCCCTATATTAATTTTTTTTTATATTTTTTTGTTTTTTAATTTTCCTTTTCTTTTTAAAAAATAAAACTATGTATATATATTTATATGGTAAATATATACATATTATTACCACTTTAATCTACATATTTTACATATAAAACATTTAATTTTGTTATTTTTATGTATATTTATATATCACAAAATGCTCTATATATAATTTTATAAATTTTAAAATTAATTATTCGGTTCAGCAATTGACCCGGTGGCCTGGTGGTTGAACCGGTGACCCGATGACCCGGAGACCTGCCCGCGTCGATTACCGGGCCGGGTTGAAAAACAATGACTAAAAACCGGTGGCAATTTTCGGAAGGAGGAGAGAAAAAAACCTGTCGGGCTCTTCACCTCTTTCAATGGGACTAGGGTTTCACAGAACGCAGAAGAAGAAAAATATACAGCTCTCTTCATCTCCGCCCTTCATCTCCGACGAGCTACTGCCGCGACGGCGCTGCCGCATCTTCGAGCTCTTCACCAGGTATGCCGCGCGCGCCGTTGTTCTTTTTTTTTTTTAGATTTTCTGAAATTTTTGTTTCATTTATAATTTATCGTTTATTATTTGTCTGCTGAGTTTTTTTTATTGTCTGATACATAGGTTCTGTTTAGTTTTTCTGTTTAATTTTTCTGTTCAGTTTTTCTATTTAACTTATCTGTTTCTGTGTTTCAATTGTTTAATTTGTTACATAGGTGTCTGAAACTGTATATTTACTTTATCAATTTGCCATGTGTAGACAAGGCCTCGCCATGGTGAATTGCCTCGCTTCGTGGCGAGGCCATTGGCCAATCGCCTCGCCATTCACCATTTAAAACTATGCCAGCTCTAGAGGGTAGAGGCTCACAAGCACAAATAAGCTCAGGAGTCAGGATGATTGAACTTACCTAATTTAATCACTCTGAGATTTTGAATCATAATTCTTTTTGTCAGGTTTAATCGCAATGTTAGGGATTTAGGTGGACGTTGAAGATAGTTTTCGGGAACGGGATTGTAGGGATATCAGAAGATGAAAAGCAGCATAATGTAGTGTTCCTCTCGTATTAATGCTGATATTTTCGGATGCTCAGGTTTTGTCGGAGGAAAAAAGAGACATCAAAGATGTTCCGTTCCTTAATTTCTGGTTTACCGACGATCATCTTCAGAAAGAACCATGACACTGCCACTTTTACAAGGTACAAATGTGTGTGTCTGTTTATGTGGATATAATTTTCAAATTTTCAGCTCGATTAATGCATATCCATCACCCTTGAAAGAAAAAAGATGAATTTGGCTTAATCACTAGGTCCGTCCTTGCTCTGAATGCCACTTTTGTTCACTTTTCACACTAAATGTTCTGAATATGCATGATTTGTTAATTTCAGTATTTGGTGATAGATGTTTGCTAATATGTCTTTGTAGTTGTTAAATGTATCCACTGAGAGCGTGTTCTGCTAATGTAAATGTGGCTGTTTGGACCAGTTTCTGACCTATGGTTCAAATATGCAGGCCCCTATTTTAATTTTTGGTAATTTAGCCTTTTACTGTTTGAGCTAATTAGTGTGTAGACAATTGCCGCATACGACCTTTACCACATTGTTGTCAAGTGACACACAAATTTTTCTTATGTTTCTATTTCTTTTTGGGAATTGCCACCTATCCAGTAGATTTTTTCTTGACGATTTTTCATTTCTTTGTTTCTGTTTCTCATATGATAATTAGTTGAAATATTATTTTTTAGTCATGTCAGTGTGGATTTAGTGATGGATTATATAATGTTATGCAGCAGGTATTTGGTTCGTCTTAAGTCACTGGTTGGAACCATTTCGAGTTCCCCTTGCTCAGTAGAAAACACGACGATTACACATTTTTCGAGTTATCTTGGACGTGTAAACAAGCTATATCCTTATTTGGAGAAATATGTCCCAAATTTGTCATGTGGAACTAACCTTGTCAATTCCTTGTGTATAAGAAGACCATATCTTTTGGGACCTCATAGTGTGACCATGGTAAGGGGATATGCTAGACATGCAACTATTGCACCAATAGAGCTGAATACAGATGGAGACGTTATCAGATTTAACATGGGGAATCAGAGTCCCGAAGGGGCACCTTCAAAGAAAGCGAGAGTAGACAAAAGAAAATCCGAATTGTCGAGAAAGGCAAAGCTCAATGAACTTAGGTTTTATCGACTGAAAGCGAAGAAGAAAATGAATTCTCCCAATCCTGATGTTAGAATACGATACAAGCTTGAAAAGGTTGGTAATGATAGCCTTTCTATACATAGTTATTTACGCATACATATATAAGAAATTATATAATAGTTATATTTGCCTTTCAGGCAAAGAGAAAAGAAGCATGGTTGATTGAGAAACTGAGGAAATATGAGCTGCCCAAAGCACCACCCGAGACCTACGATCCCGAAATATTGACCGAGGAGGAAAAGTTTTACCTCAAGCGTACAGGCGAGAGAAAGAAACACTATGTTCCAGTCGGTAGACGAGGTGTATTTGGAGGTGTTGTTCTTAATATGCATCTACATTGGAAGAATCATGAGACGGTGAAAGTCGTCTGCAGACCATGCAAGCCCGGGCAGGTGCATCAGTACGCAGAGGAACTTGCTAGGTTAAGCAAAGGCATCGACATCGACATAAAGCCAAATAATGTGATAATATTCTACAGGGGTAAAAATTATGTCCAACCGGATGTCATATCGCCTACAAATACTCTGTCCAAAGCAAAGGTATGACTTTTTGTTTTGATATTAATATGTTGGCTAATTTTGTGTGCATAAGGAATTAAGGATAGCGAAAAAAGATGCTGTGTTTTAGGCTGGGAGTCATATCTTGATGGTGCATGTTTCTTTGCAACATTTTGTTGTTGAATTCTCATGGTTTGAAAAATACTAAATTGTTGCTGAATTCTCATGGTTTGAAAAATATTTGTTAAATTAACAGGCTCTGGAGAAATATAGACATGAGCAGTCATTGGAGCATACAAGCCAGTTCATTGAGAAGTTGGAGAATGAACTGGAAGAATATCATGACCATCTTGCTCGGTATAAGAAAGAGAAAACTGCGACATAAAGCACTCACGGGAAACAGTTGCTTTATATTCTCTGGTCAGTATTGCCCATGTCAGTATTCCAGTTTTTGATGTGTTCTATATGTTCTCACGTATTTTAACTTTGCAGTTACACGGTAATGGCGTTATCAGCAAAAATTTCAACATGATAATGAAAATTGAAAAATATTTCGTTCTTATTTTCTTATAAGCTTGGATTTGTATGGTCTTGTTACTGTACTGCTGAAAGACGTAAGAGTTTGGTCTTAGAACAATAGCTATGGATCAGTTTTCCATTTTACATCACAATATGGACCGCTTTATACAGTTCTATATTGCCTCGGCTCATGGTATAGATTTTTTTTTCTTTAATTTAAACAGGATTCTGCAATAGGGACGAAGGATTGGGGTTCGTTTATTCTCTTCTGCATATCCTCACATGTCAGGCAAGACTTATTACTTTGTGTTAATTACAAACACTGCTACCCCTGTTCAGAATGAGCCAATTATCGCTAAAAACTGAAGTTACTACCTTTGCTTTTTTTGCTCTTTATCGATTGGAGGGAGTATATGCTAGATAATTACATGCCCAAAAGCGGTGTTTGGTACACCTGAAGGGCTTGTTCATTATTTTGAAAGATAACTGTGGTTAGTCTTTTTTCAAATCAACAATAGGTCTAGTAGGTCTGTTGTCTGGTCACCTAGTGTCCTGAGAGTTACTTTTTTTTTTCACTGTCTACATGTACAGGCTAGCCGACATAAATGTTGTTGCATTCTGAAAGATTGATGACATCCCCTTCGGGGGAGCTAAGTTTGCACCATATTTTTCTGATTATTGAATCAGGAATCCCCACGTCTAATCTCAGAGATTTTTCTTGCCTGTTAAAAGCTCTATGACACCCTCAAATCTTTTTTATAGCTCAACAAAACTAAGTTTGTGCAAGCCTTGGAAAAGTTAATTGCTATTGCCAATTTATTGCACTGTTTGGGGCTGCAAATGAAATACAGATTGCAACTGTGTTTTGTCTTTGCTTGCCAGAAATTTATGTAGAAATTATTACCCAGTGATTAAGCCATCATCAATCATCAACATACCCAGTATATTCCCAACTGGTTGGGGTCTGGGGAGCCAGTTGTACGCAGACCTTACCTTTGTAATTATAAAAGGAGGCTGTTTCCGTAGCGACCCAAGGTGCATTGCGTCGTTTGATATATTTTTTTTCTAGAAACTTCACTAATAGAAGAAGCACTAGAATCTAATTGAGCCATTTTAATCTAGTTCATTATTAGTACTGTACCAGGAGAATTGTCAACAATGACTCTTCCAGTTCCATTTGCAATGGACAAATACCCAGTGATATATATTTTTTTTTTTCTTTTCAAGGGTGATGAATATACATTAAACAGACACATTACATTATTATTTTTTTTTTATTTTTGAGAATTTTGAAATTTTCGTACTTTCAGGGCCCTCTATACCAGCAACGGCCATACCCGTCACCGGGGGCAGTATTACGTAAAAATGCCGAAACTTCCACAGAAAATAAAAAACACGGAGTTATGCTCCGATCTCCATGAGAGGCGATGGAAATGATGGCCTTGGCCAACTTTTTATAGTCCATTTATTGTGCAGATATTCATTCGAGCTTCTACTTTGTCAAGATTAGCTGGAAAGATAATACATTACTCTCGATTATATGGGTTATTTGCTCTGGTTTGTTCTTTCCTAGAAGCTGTTCTTGGGGAGATAATATGATGAATGAAGATTATAATTCTTGCTTGTTTGTAAGGATGCTTGCTTTAGGATGAGATATTTGTACTATTGAGTAGTTACGAAATATGTGTAACATATGACTTGTAGGCCGACATTGACAATCAAAACGAACTGAACTTACATTTAACATAGAAATATTTTAGAAGAAAATACATGGCTCAACATATATATAACATTTATTGACCAAAATGTTACACTTAATTTTTTGGTACATTTATAAACAACATTATTTTTTTTTATTATTATTTGCAAAATTTTTTAATATAATTGCCGTATTATGACACAATTATTTTACCATGGTAAATGCATATAAATAAAATATGCTAAATATCTCAATAGATAATTATGCCCCTCATCCCTTCCCAAATTTTCTTTTCTATTTTGCCTACTACACGAAAATCCCCGCGACCCTTCAGATCGAGATACTTGGGCCGACAGCCCGTGACCGGTGAGGGAAAGGTTGCGGAGGTCCCTTTCTGGAGTTCGGAAGTGACATAGTCCCAGGGAGCGGTGCTGTGGCGGTTGACGACGAAGGCGAGGATGAGCGCCTCCCAGGTGCCCTAGGAGGGGGAGGCGCCACCATCTGTCGTCACTTCCCACGCGACGCTTTTCGGTTTGGTCATTGACTTTTTACGGTGCGGCGCGCGTACGATGCGTAATCAAATTGACTAGTACAACACCCGTGTATTACACGAGTTCTTGTTAAAAAATTATTCTTAAATTTTAAAATTAATGAGAAAGTTATATTAAATTTAGTTTACTTTTTTACCAAAAAAATATATTACTATATATTTTAGAATGATATGTGTTACTTATAACTTACATGTGTTTTATTATATTAGTTTTTATAATGATATGTGTTACTTATAACTTACATGTGTTTTATTATATTAGTTTTATAACTTATATCATATAACTACAGTAAATGTGAATAATTATTCAAAGCCTTCATTAGTTAGATGGTGTGTGTTAAGCCGTTAGCAGAGAGGTCTGGGATTCTATTCTCACCTACTGAAAGGGCCAAATGGTTGGCGCAAATACTTAGATGTACGTTGGCACACCTAGCTAGGTGTGCCAGGACAATAATAAAATAAACATGTTTATTTTTGTTATGTAACATGTAATGATAAAATGAACATGGTACATAATAAAATGAACATGTTCATTACATGTTACATAATAAAATGAACATGTTCATTTTATCATTGCCCTAACACACCTAGATAGATAGACACACGATAGTAGCACTGAAATGGTTGGTGTGCTTCAAAATTGAAATAAACCTCTATTCTATAATCCAATGAAATAATAATAAATAAAATATAATAACAATAACAACAATAATAATAATAATATTAATTATAATAATAATAAAGCTTCGTACTTCTCAAAAGAAGGTCTAGATTTCTAATTAATTAATTGAATTAGTACATAATTTATTTTACAAGTTGAAAATGATTGATCCTTAAACGAGTTTATTGCACCAAACCCCTCTGTATTATACTAAATTTGCGCGTTTTCCCCTTGTATTTTAAAAATTGCGTCATACCCCCTTGTATTTAAAGTTTGCATGCACACTCTCCCATTTGACTGTTTTCCTATTAACAGCGTTAATATTTTTGTAAAATCCCCGTTATGCCCTCAGAATATTATATATATATATTTTCTGATAAATTGAATTTATCATGATATATTCAATATATCGCGAGAAATTGAATAGACTTTCTCATCTCTAAATCAAAATCACACTTTCACTATCTTGAACAGACTTTCTCATCTGCTATTCCTAAATGCTTCTTGCTCATTTGAAGGATTGCCAAAAAAAAAAAAGAATGACCAAAGGGCAGACAAAGCTAAGGAGAAGGGATTTTCTTAACTGGGACTTCAAAAAGATCGTAGGACTTTTTCTGGGAGAACCAACTTCTCTTCA